GGTACCCCCCCCCCATTGGTAACCCCCCCGCCATTGGTAACCCCCCCCCCCATTGGTAACAGTGTACTACTGGCAGTGTCATGCCACCACGAGCATAGTTAGTCATTGATATTGGGTAGGGTATATTCATTAAAGCTATGCTGCATATTATTGTACACTATTCAGTGATGTGGCAAAGTAATATGTTCATACCTATGGTTGATTTCCCCAGTTTTTGCTGTCTTTTCTGCTACTATGTAGTAACATCAGGAAACAACAAATTCTATAGTGACTTCCCCCCAGATACATAGTCCTCCATAGGTCTATGGAGGTCGTATAGGTCAACATAGACAAGGGGAAACCAAAATAGGGAGTCATAGGTGAGATGTGTTTCCTGATGAAGTAAGATTGCCGTGTGGCATACGCCCCGGCCCAGACAACGGTGTGGCCTCCCCTCATGTGACTAACAGGTTCGCTGAACTCGTTCGCGAACGCGTTCGGCGGGCGACCTTCCCAGTCGGCTGGACGTTCTCGACAAATTGATCGAAACCGTACAGTAATTGTGAAGTATCACTCAAATATCCAACAGATAGACTGGTGGGATATTGGTCCCTATGTCCCATTACCTTACTCGGTTTTCATTCAGATTGTTTGCATCCGAGATTTCGACGTTCAGCGCTGCTGTGGTGACTTCTGCAACTCCATGCGCATGAAAGAATTGCCTCTGGCTGCGTAGGGTGCTCTCCTGTTGTGCTGATGGTATTCTCCTTGTAGGCGCATCTTCATCTTCTCCGGAGAGATCCTTTTGATTGGCAGTATATCCCCGACCATGCCGACCTCCCCGTCTTCCATCAGCCAACCAAGTATTCTCGCTGCATTTCCTATGGCTCCATTTCAGGAACACCTGGTGATACGCAAACCTGGAACTAGGCTGTGAGCAGGTCGTGTTATTTGAATTTGATTGCTAGCTTGTGCTGTCCGAGTTGGCCGGGGCGAGAGATCTGCAGGGAGGATGGTGATAGTTCTAATGCTTCTTTTGCAGTTGCGGAAATGATGGGCTCCCTTTATTGTGTGCACCACTCTCTTCTACCGTCAACGGCGCACTTTCAACCTGGATCAATGACTCACTCTGGCGCTTAGATGGCGGCTTCCTTTGAGTCGCAGGTATGGCGGCCCCGCAATTTTTTTGTTAGACGCTGTTATATCCCGGGTTAGTATTCCCCAATCGTTGTTTTCAGTTACCGAGAACGCCGCCTCCGGGGGCTTCGTCTCCAGGCCAACTCACCAGTTCATGCTCAGCAGTAGTTCTTGTTTTTTTTCGAGGCGCTGGCAAGAGTGCGGATCATCTGGTCTTTTGTAATGCGGATATCAGCGCTCGCTATTGCGCGGGAAGTCATTACAGGTATGTACTAGTCTTTGTGCTCGAACCGCGCCCAGCACGGTGCACCGTCGCGAAGAAGTCGGATAGCGCGCTTGGTCTCTCTAGCTCGCTCTTCTGAAATTTCACGCTGGGGTTCTGAACCCACGCGAAGGGCCCAGGATCTTCGTGACTCACAATAAGGTACCACACTGTCCCCAAAGATGCACTCGGAATGGATGCTATGCTACCACAAGTACAAGGCGGCTCACGCAACATACGTGATTTGTCAAGAAGGACACGACCCAGAGTGATCCTGGAATGCCGGATGCTATCTCTCGGCTGATCTGCGTCAAACTAGTCTTTCCATGCTACTCAACATACCATGCCCAGATCTATAAAAGCCACTTATGCAAGTTGACAGACCCATCAGACAGCTCAGCCAGTGGACAGCACTACTCAGTTGAATAGATTAACGGTAACGTCAACCCGTCACTCCAAGCTTGACTGCATCATGTAGACTGACATGCTGGTCAGACGATGCCTCGCACCCTCTATTTGGCCATCTTCCATCGCCATCTGTTTCCTGCCCATTGGGTCATATATAAACCCAACACAGATGATACTAGCTCGCCGGGCACCATGCTCCATGTCGAAGGTGATGTGGCGAATGGTTTTTCCCACACCGTAGCACGCAACTATGATATCTTGAAGACCAGTCGAACCTACACAATGATTACGCTCGGCCAGGTCGATAGTCAATATGTCAAAGACTACCCCAAGGGCGCATATGTTTCTCTTGCCCCCGTCCAAGCTATCGACAGGGTCGAACAGGTCATTCTCTCGGTCCCCGCGCCGGGCAAAAGCCTGAGAT